GGTTCTATAAGCTCGGTGTGAGTTTCAATTGACTCGATGTCAGTGGAGCAGGATATATAGGGTTTCTATAATTTGTAATTCAACTCGACCACAATAGGTTTTTTTCTACTATCTTAACAGCAGCTGATCCCTATTTACGGCTTATTACTTATGAACTAAAATTTCCTGTTTGCTTGTCTTTCTTCCTATTAGATCCTAGGCTTATTAAGGGGAGAGACTCTACATTAACCATTACTGTATACTTACTGATTAAGAATGTATAGCATAAAACAGGCACCCGATAAAGAATTGCTGAATAAATCAATGCTTTAAAGTCTTCATGCTTTTTTTCCAATGTAAAGAGAAATTGTACACACACACACAAAAAACAAAAAATAGTTCATCCAAAGAATTGCTTTAATAAGTTTTGTCCTTTTAGAATGTAAACATCATATAAGCATATGTGTTTTGTTTTGTAATATGCTGTTATCTCCAATGCCTAAAACAATACATAAAATATAGTGGGATCTCAATGAGTATTTGCTAAATGAATGGATCATTAATTGGATTTTCTTAATATCCTGGCTAATTAAATGCCTAAAGGACTGTCCTGAGATTTTATCAAAGTTCCCCACTCTAGTTCTCATCAATAATCATTTCTAATAACAGATGAATCTGATATGGTATACAGGTTAAAGTAATACAATTTAAATATGCAACATCAGTATGTTCTCTCACAAAACACACTTTCGTAATAAAAATCTTTGCAATTTTTATGGTTGGATAGTTTCCTCCATTTGTAACATATTATTAGGTGGGGAAACACTTCTAATACTCCCATGTGAATTTCTCTCAGTGTTGTGTCAAGGGATTTATATGTGTGTTACACCAAAACAGGATACCACATTTTTACTCACTTCCAGTTGCAGAGAAGGATGCATCCAGTGTTAACTCATCCAGAGGAATAACAAGCTGACCTCCTGCTTCCCACTTCTTACGATCAGATGAAACTGGTTTTTCTTCTTCACGCTCTTTGGCATCTTCAGGAACAAGGATCTCACAAGTGTCAGAGCAGTGCTGCTTTCCTTTTTCATCCTCTTGAGCTTTAAGATTCTGATTTAATCTACGTAATATTTCTCGTTTACTCTGAAACAATGATAATCTGACATTTTAAATATGCATATGGATTAAGTAAAATGGCAGAGATCTTTGAAAATGGTACTTACTGAAATAGCACTGTTGGTCTTTTGCATTTCTTCTGAGATTTCCTGGGTACCAGTTAAACTGTCCTTTAAACACAGATAGTTGCAACATTAAGTAAGTACTAGTTAAAAAAAAATATTTCAGGAAAGAGATATGCAAAAGATTGAAACAAGACCTTCACCTCACACCTTATACAAAAACCAACTCAACATGGATTAAAGACCTAAATGTGAATTCCAGAATAATGGCCATCAATGAAAAAATAGGGACAAAAGTGAGGGCATTAATTCAGCGAATACACAGAATACCAAACAAACATTTTGAATACGACACAAACAAAAGTAGACAAAATAGATGAGTGGGACATATGAACAATTAAAGACTTATATGCATCAAAAGACTTCATCAGAAGAGTAAAAAGGGAACCCACAGAATGTGAAAAAATCTTTTGCAATGACACATCAGACAAGGGACTTATTTCTAAAATATATAGGAAACTACAACACGTCTACAAAAAAAAGACA